CGGAAGAACAAGACTATTTTCATTACTGTAAGACTGACTTTTAGAGGAATACGGCTGCCGCTAAGGGACAGCATATTGGTTTTGTTTCAATTGTTGATTAACGTACAATTTTTTTGTAAAAAGGCAAAAAGTAAAGTCACTTAATCGTCAATTTCGCGAAATTAAATTCCCTGCAAACACGATTTTTCTCCGCGATCGCGAAATTAAAGACTCGCGAATTGTGCCGAGAAAATTTTCGCGAAATTTATGTCCCGCGAAAATAAAGGAGAATAAGGGAAACAGGAAAGAAAACCGCAAGATACGGTGGGGAACCCCCCTAATTATAAAGTTGAATTTAAAAATACAACGGTGGGATAACTCTAGTATTTAAAGTAAATGGTATAAATTACTGCTTTTTTAGAGATTTCCAATACTGGCAATTAGGCATATTAAACTTTGTATGTTTTCCGGAAGTAATAAACAATTTAGTAAGGTATTTAGATATTCGGTATGGCCCGAGTGTATGACGAGGCCACGATATTGCTGCTTATCTTTAACCACCACAAAAAGCACAAACAATGTCTTTTTTCGCGGAATTTGCATTAAGAGAGTGTTTGGTTCGCAACACTGAAGTGAGCACTTTTGTTCTTGGCCACCAGCATGGTCAGATCGTATTACCGTGGCTCGTAGGGACAAAACACTTCCCAGAATCCAAAAACACGTTCCAAAATCCAAAACACGTCCTCCTCTGGGAAGTGTTTTTGGATTCTGGGAAGTGTTTTGGATTCTGGGAAGTGTTTTGTCCCTACAAGCCACGGTAAGATTGACGTCATCTGAAAACAAACAATAACAAACTCTAATGTTTAAGAATACAACAGTGGGTTATTTCAAGTATTTAGAACCTTTTAGTGCAAGTTATTACCCTCTCTTAGTACTCGCTAAAAACTGGCATTTTTTTCAGCCATATTTTTTTAAATTTTGTGAGTTTTATTCGGGGATGGCATTGTATGACGTGTATGACGAAGTCGGGGATTTCCCTTTCAAAGGCCACATTTGCGCATGGATGTGTTAAGTAAAAACATAAAACGAACCAGGAAAGTTAAGTTTCGCTTTTACTTGAGAAGCTTTGTTCCGTAATGAGTTAGTTGCGGTTTCCGCTATGAAACCTTTTCAGAGCACAGATTGCTCGAAGCGGTTTAAAACAGATAATGGCCGTACTGATCATTGAAGAGCCGTACACTGTGGTGAACCAGTTATGAATTCGAAATTGAAACCCTATCGGTGTCCTGTTTGTCGGAAGCGGTTTGCGACCGATAATGCCTTAAAGAATCATATAGAACGCTCAACAAACAAGAAGCATCAGAAAATGAGAGGTAATATCAATCAATGATACTAGAACAAGATCCCAGTACAGTGGGGGTTCATTGGGCTGCTGTAAGACTGTCGACCGCGTGATGCAGTGGTTTATTATTTTAGGAACTGATAGATTATAAGTAGTACGGTATGCAGGGAAACTTCAATAAGCTTTAATGCATAGACATGAGCTTAAGCAAAAGCGTTTGAGCGACAGACGCTATCTGGAAGTGGACTTTTTGCATTCTTGAGCAGTGGTTTTGCTGAAATCGTCTTTCTAAGAGTAAGGGCACTTAGCAAATCGAGGCGTCAAGGCACATTTTAATGGGCCTCACTTCTTGTTAGCGTCCGTCGTTTAAAAACGCCTTAGCTTGCCTTACTTAATTTCCGAAGAAGGAAAGTTGCATATTTTGCATATCTTTCTCTACTCCCAGATATATATTCTATACTTTGGTGGTGTCTTGTAAATTAGTTAAACGCCTTGTATCAGTTAAAAACCTAAGTCCCAATGGATTAAAAAACGAAACTGAAAGTAATTTAAATTACTTTGCAAGAATGACGTAATTGTTTGGTTGCTATATATTTAAATCAGTTGGGGGAGGGGAGGGTTGGTAGATCATTCAACCAAGCTGGGAGACGGGTGACTACGTGACGGTTTAAATTTCTTTCATTTTGTTTTACAATGATGGTCGTGCAAAATGTTGTACTACGGAATCTATAGCTAAATCACTGGGTTTAACACAAGCCAAGCGATGTATTATGGGCTTGAATAAAATGACATAATCGTATGGTATTCACTTCCATGGAAAGTTATTTGCTGCATGGGTATTTTATTGAATTTCCATATTAGACAGAGGATTTCTTGTTACGCTGGTTTATTTCCCTGTAAGGATACAACTGGATTAAAGGTTTCTTTAACCGGTTTTTATTTAGCCTGCCCTGTAACACACTGCTCCGCAAGTCCGCAACACTCCACGAGGGGAAGGGGGCGGGGGTTTGAACTGAGGGAGCATAATTTTCCAAAGTTATTGCATTTGGCGCTGACGTTGTAGATTAATTTGGAAATCCAATCCTTTCATGGTGGTCTGTTTGCTAGCCAAGGTCTACCTGAATGCTGTTAAAAGTTCTTGTCAAGGTGAGGTATTGGGCAAATGAACTGTAAAATTCATAACGAATTTAAGTATTTTAATTTTTTTTCACGTTTCAGGTGATATATCTTGTCCATATTCATTTTGTAAACGTAAATTTCAATCTCAGTACGACTTTACCCCCCGCGCCCTAGAGCAACATTTGGACAACCCAGGCAACTTGCATGAAGGTATAATATTAACAATAATTATAAAACTTTTACATAAACGTTTATTTGTACAGTGGAGTACTAATGGTACGGCATGGTGGGTCAATGAGTCATTTAAATAAAAAAGAATCCCTGAATGCTAACTATTATTGAGTCAGTGTTTAACCCTGCCTAAAAATTTTAGACACTCTGTATGGGTATTTATGAGGAAATCGCCGTATTGATGAAAAACGCATGACGAAAACGAGGTCCGCAGGTAGCAAAAGAGAGGCTCACTATTTGTGAACAGTAAACAAAGGATTGGCGCCGTGTAGAGCTTCCAACATAAACTGCAGCGCCGCTGTCGTCTTACTTCTGAAGCTTGCCGGCTTTCATAACCAGTCTCCCCTCCTATCTGTGGGCAAGTTGTAAACAATTAACATTACAAATGTTGTAGCGTCAATGCATACCAAAAGGGAAAAGGCCTCATTTCCGGTTAGTGTCCGTCGCTCAAAAACGCCTTACCCTAGTGTTAGTACGAAAAAAAAGCCTGCGAGCAAGCTCTTCGCTCTCTCTTTTGGCCCCCTGCCACCAGAGCGTCTCAGAGAGTTTGCTCGCAGGCTAATACGAAGAAGAAAAGTCGGCGCATATTTTGCGTATTTTTCTTTCTCTTAGCGTTCTAGCTAGATACTACCTTAGTACTTCTTGAGCTCCCCGTATAAACATTTGTTGAGTACTCCCCCCCCCCCCCACCCTCCGCCGACACCCGGTCTCCTCCACACATTTGGTGTAATTCTTCTCATATAAATCGAAAGAAAATTTGACGAGATATGAAGAACACAAGAAGGAGGGCGAGTGAGGTAAGGGGCTCAGGAGGTTTTGCCGCAGGGCAAAACGAAGAAAAAAAGTTGGCGCCTTTTTTTTGTTTTTTTTTTTTTCTTTGGGGTTTTACCAGATACTCCCCTTGTAATTCTTTAGCCCCCCCTTTAAAAATTTTTTTAGTTCCCCCCCCCCCCCCCCAACCTCCGGCGCTACCCTGTATGCTTTTCAAAATTGGGTGAAATATTGTGCCAACAAACTCATAGAAAATTTACGATTAATTAGGAAAGGCGAAAGGGGGAGGAGGGAAGGAGTTTGACGAGCACGTTTAATGAAGCCACGATGAGACCTGTATGACTTGTCTCGAAGATGATAATGAATGCATGGTGTATGTGTGTTACATAGTCGCTTGGGCAAGACCGCTGTAAATATTTCCTAGTTTAAAAACGTAGCTAAAACATGATTACCTGCATCGATGTTAAGTTCACCTTCGATATTGTACGTTAAGGTTTGTCCACCTCCGCAAACATTCTCCAAATAGCAGAAGTCGCCCTCCGAGTTGTCTTCTTGCTGTTTTTGCAATATTTTTGGCTATTATTTCGCCTAGTTCCAGCTGTAGTTCTTACTCTTGAAACGAGTGAAATATCCGCCATTTTTTTTTTTTCACAACAACCCAACCTCGCCCCCAGGTCTTCTCGGTAACGGTGCCTTAAACTGTAGCAGGCTGCATTTTTAGCTATTTTTGACGTCATTTCCTCGTTATACACAAAATTCTTCCAAATTTGGTCATCAGTAACTGGTTATAGTGAGTTATGGGTGTGCCAGTCAGAATCGGGGAAATATTTTGAAAGAATAACAATGCTTTTTAAGTACTCTCCAAAACTGGAAAATATAAAACAAATATAATAAATTATTACTCTTAAATGGTACACAAAAAAGTGGGCAATTTTTCAGCCATGATGTTTATAAGATCAAGGAAGTAACAAACAATTCTTTGAGTTATATTCGGTATGACCAATGCATGACGAAGTCGGGGATTTCCCTCGTCAAGCCACTTATGCGCATGAACATGTAAAATGCAAATCAAACAAACCAGCAAAGAAAAGCGTCACTTTCACTTCACAAGCTACAACGTACGTTCTGACGTAGTTTAAGCTAACTATGGATTGGGGATCAAAACTTTATCAGTGCACAATCTGCTTAAAGCGTTTTAACACAGAAATTGGCCGTGTTGATCATCAAATGGAAGTACATGGTGATTATTCATTTTATGGAGTATTCACTTGTTCATACGAATCGTGTACCCGGACACGTACTTTTCGACGCCAAGTTGACGTAGGCAATCATTTGAAAAACCCTGGCAAGTGGCACCAGAGAAGAGGTAATATTAATCAAAAATATAACTTTTACATACACTTTCAATACGTGAGCTAATACCCGAAGTCTTTGGGGTATGGTATGAAGGGAAAATGAAAGTCAAACCAGGAATTAAGCTTAAGAGAAGGCGTTTAGTGCGACGAATTCTAACCGAAAGCGAGGCTTTGACGCTACAACATTTGTAAAGTAAACTGGAAGCGATAAAACAAAACATACAAGCTAAATGTGCTTGATAGTCAAAACATGCGTGAACAGATTCCGAGTGATAGAGGACCCAAAATCGCGGCGTTCTGTGCATTTTATACATTCTTAGTGGGAGTCCAAAAGAATGCTAGCTACATACATGCGACGCATACTTAATAACAACCTTATACAAAATTTAACAAATTATCGTCAATGCTATGTGGAGATTTCATCGAAGTTTGAAATTATTTAGAGACTTTTTATCGATTTACGTTTATATGGTTGGTTTTCACATGACGTCACTAAAAGTCAAACTACGAAACTATCGATCCTACTGACATTTTACTTTCATGGTGTATTAGAGCAGCTGAAAACTAATTTTCAAACAAATTTTTGCTTCAAAAGGGTTCTTGGTTTTGTGATAAAGTACGCTTGAATTTCTAAGCTTTTGCGTGACGCAGCATTTACATGACGGCCTAGAGAGCTGTCATTTAGGTTAAAAAAGTGACTTTTTTTGAGGAATTTTGCTATCTAAACAGTTCAAGTATTAGAAAGAGTATTACTTTAATGTTTGTGAGTTCCTCTAGGAGTAAATTCACGCTTTTTTAGCAAAACTCGGTAACAGATGTTTCTGTTGGTTTCTGTCCGCCATGTTGGAGCTCATCCGGATGAGCTCCAGCATGGCGTCTCCTAGTCTCCCTCGCAGCCGTTTTTAGTATCATCACGCAACGCTCCTAGTGGAGAGGAGCGTTGCGTGACGATACTAAAAACGGCTGCGAGGGAGACTAGGCGTCTCCATACAAAGCTCTATAAATTTGGGTAAAACATTTCCTCGGATATCTCGTATACGAATTATTCCTTCGACCCAAATCTTGATGAGGGTCTTTGTATATTTACCTCCTTTCATTTCCCAGATTCTGGACTTTATCTGTCGAATGGTTTTGATTTTTATTTTGATCTATTTTGAATGGCGTGACACTGAAAACCAGCAATTCCTGAAAGAACTCAGAAACAGATTGAGCAAAATTACAAGCACTTCATTTGGTACCATTTTTTGACTGCTGTCATTCAAGGAGGCCGAATTAACAGAAGAAACTGAATTGAAATGTCGACAAACTGAATAAACTTAAGAAATTTCACGTTTTGCCTTTTTTGTGATAAGTGAAATACAACAATCACACAAGAAAAATTGACTTAAGCAATGGACGAAAAAAATCCTAAATATAGTCTATCACATCTAAAAACAATTTGGGCACTTACTTCAAGTTTTGTTAAGGCGAGTGTCGAAAAAAAGTTATCGTATTTTTCGTTTTTGCGTACATTTCACTAATCAAGAAGGTGATTTTTATGGAGTTTTTCAGGTTCTAGTTCCAGGTATTAGCGAAAAGTAGAATTGCCGGAAGCGATCACTGATTCATAATATTTTCAAAGTGCCCTCTGGGTATTTCTTCGCGTCAACCCTACTTCAGTTTTGCAATATCTAAGTCCGTCTTTCTTTCTGTGTTTGACCCTTGTACTGTAACCCGTCAGTAAAGTTCTGAAAGTTTACTGCCTCCTACTACACAAGTTTCACTTCCTTGGGTTTTTGCTGCGGTCATTGTTCTTGCCCTTCTTCCTCTTTGCCTGCTTTAAGAGACTTTACGGACACCCGAATAATATATACAGACACCATTGCACGTCCCCTTGATGTCCGTATTAACCGGGCTCCACTGCATTCAGTTTGGAAATCGGCCATTGCACTCGCAGTTCGTGCAAAGAACAAAAGATAATGTGAACGTCAGATTTACATGAAGCTCTACCCAAACGGCAATTTGACACTGTAATGGTATTTTCCAAAGTGGCCCATACAAGGCCTTATGTCACGCCGTTTTCACGGACCGGTTTATTCTTAGAGCACTTTTTTCCCGCGAAAATAGAAGCTTTTCTCCGTCGATGTGCGCATTGTACCTCAAGGGGCATTTCTAGGACCGATACTTTTCCTTTTGTTCGTCAACGATATGCTTCTCCACTTTCACAAGCAAGTAGTAAACTATGGACATTTACGCAGACGATTCCACCTTGTCTTTAAGTTCAAATTGGAAAACCATTTCATAACTAAATCAATTTATCTAAGGACCTAACAGACACAGAGTGATGGGCTACAGAGAACAAAGAAAATGTATTTAAATACGCAAAAATCAAAAGCTTAATGGTTCGTGTTTCCGCACCAATTCGCAGGACCACAATTTTCTTACGATTAAAAAAAATACAAATAGATTTATCATTTAGCCCTAAAGGTGTAGTTAAGGTGTCCTGTCTATCTGTTCTACAGTGACTTAGGGCCTGTTTACATGGAGTGGGGGACCCCGGTCTAGTGGGGTTGGTTTCTTTTGTTTTCACGCTCTGGGGGACACAAAACAAAAGAAACTTACCCCACTAGACCGGGGTCCCCCACTCCATGTAAACACGGTCTTAAATTGTTTCTCGAATTGCAGGTGTAGAAAATTCCATCTTCCACCTCGTTCCCATGTTCCTTTCCCTTCCTTCCACGAGGAAGGAAGAGAAAGGAATCTTTGAACGAGCTCGCTCTAGCCCGGAAGTAAATAAGTTCGTAAGTGATGAGCTCCAACCAGATGGCGAATTTCATGGTCTGTTAAATAATGCCATTGATTCCTTGTACCGAGAACTTCAGAAAGGCTTGGAGTATACAAACTACGGAATTCATAACTTGATCAAGGTAACTGCTTACACCGCCCCCTGCCCCTCCCCACTAGCGCTAAATTATCGTTGTAGATGTTTTTAATTTTCAACAATATCCCAAGAGAGGTAATCGGATTCTGCCCTAGAAGAGACTGGATTTATTTCAAAAGCGTGTAGCACAGGAAAACCATCCGGCAGTTGAAATGTTTGCCTCTGCCAGTTATTTCAAAAGGCGATAGTTTTTTAATACAGTGAAAGATGCTAGGAAATAGTAAAATTTGAAACACAGGTAAATGACTGCCACAACTCCTGCCATGTTAAAACACTTCTTGAAAGTACAAGATAAACTAAGTCGTTCCAAGAATACATGAATCGGTTCACCTCTCCTTCCCTCAATAATGTTTCGTGGGTTTGCTTGGACATAGACGTCTTCAAAATCAACATGAAGGGGAAGTGGAGAAGAAATTCGCAAGCGTTTCTCAACAATTATGACCAGGGATGTATCTTTAATACCAAATCACTGATTTTTATCCTTAAAAGTTACGAGTAGCGTCTCCGATACTTTGGCCTTAGAGTCCCGTCTGCTAATCAAGAGGGGTTTCTAGATCTTGGGCCGCGGTCGTCGTGAGTTTAGCACGAAAGCAATAATGAAACGTGCTATGATTAGATTCTACATGTCGCCTTGTCATTTTAGGGCGGATCCATTGCAAAAGGCACTGCATTAAAAAACAACGCCGACCTGGATTGCGTGATGGTCATGAACGGTATTGAAAACGCTTCCCAGTTGAGCAGCAAACTACCTGACATCTTGTACATGCTAGAGTCACGCTTGGGGAGCAGTATAGGGGACTCCTGGAGTTTGACTTCCATAAAGAAGACGCGGTTCTCCTTGCAGTTTAACATGTCACGTTATTTCAACCCTGGGGAGTCTGTTAAGGTTGATCTTTTGCCCACATTTGAAGCAAGCGTAGCGGGCATCGATGGTACGTACGTAACCGCAAGAGTTGAAACGCTGAGTTACTCATAGAGTAGTTAGTGCACGGTTGTTTGAATGAGAGGCCCCCTTGAAGAAATTCCCAGTTAACTCAACGTTCATAACCCAGCCTAACTTAACTCATCGTACAACTTCTTTTTACCCTATGTACAAATGAAATTGTTCACCCGGTTTTGACTGAAGTCAGCAAAATGTATAAAACAGTGAATCGCCGCTTCAAGTAAAATTCATAAGATGGGGTATGTCTCATCATCAGGTTCTCTCGTTCCTACTAGATGCATGGCGACAGTTTCAAATTCCCCCAACCTAGGGGTTTGCACAACAATCCAATAGTATACCTACCCAGGGGACAGCTCTCAAAATAAAATTCCCATGAGAAGGCATTAGTGCCCTCCATTCTCACCAGGGGCTTACCATTTCCTACGTAGGTGCAACAGACATGCATAATCTTTGCGCGCAGATTAAACTACTAAACAGTGAGTTTTGGGTTGTTGGTCAACTGCCCATCAGTGAAGCTAAAGACATGCGCAATCTTGAAAAACGATTTATGAAATTTTATTACATCTTTTATGATGTTGAATCTGAGGAGAGATCTAATCTTATCAGCGTTTAGTAAAAATACTTTTATGATGTTACATCTAAGCAGAGATTCAATATTCTTTGTCTTAGGGCGAGAAAGGTTTTACAGAAAAATGCTTGAGGACAGAAAGAACTGGCCATACTACTCCGCTGCCCTTGTGTTGGTTCAAAAACACTTCGTCAAGGAACGGCCTGCACTCGTAAAAGGCTTGATTCGGTTGGTGAAGTACTGGCGCAAGACGTATATTCCACAGAGTGGTAGTAAGCATGTCCCACCCTCCTATCTTCTGGAGCTTCTCACAATACACGCCTGGGAAAATGCAAATCAGCCAGAAAGCTTTGACTTGAAGATTGGTTTTAAAGCTGTTATGGAGGTTCTAAAGAATCACCAAAGTCTTCGTGTTTCCTGGGGAGATTACTACAGAAAGAGTTTAATTCCAAGCAGGTACATTCATGGAGTGTTCTAAATTAGTTTAACCAGAATAAACGAACCGCCTGTTAGATTCTTGAGGACATAGGCCGTCTCGGATGTTTGTAAACCGGTATGCTCTTTTTACCTTATTTCAACCAGTTACCAAATCCGCTAGGAATGTCTGTCGAGGCAAGAAATTCGTAACACGTTAATTTTAGAAATAGAGCAATTGGACAAACTTTCTTTTACTGGAGAATTTTATTTATGGCATATTTTCCTTTTTGGCATTTCAGTCTCCTGTATGGGCCATATGTAATTGATCCTGCCAACCCAACCAACAACCTGCACGACGCTGTTGACTGCTGGGATGAGGTGAAAAAGGTTGCAGAGGAAACCATGCGGAAACCCCTTCTCAGAGATGTGTGGGTTACAGCTAACTGGAGATGAAGAACCACGATTTTAATTAGATTTATTTGTAATATGTAGAGTCCCTAAAGGGATTAGGGTATAATTTTGGGTGTGTAGTGTTTAGCAGCCTGGCGTGTCATCGATGGCGTCATCAACTATGTAACCGCGTGATATCTATTTCTTAAACTATTGTAAGTAGTCACCCTGTATTAGTTTTGCAGTTCATTAAAGCTTCTAGTAAGATAACAAGTCTGCACGTTCTTTAGGAACCCGAGAACTTAACAGAGTCAACCTCTCTATTTTGTGTACTGTCAGAACAACGGAAGAAAATGGTGTTTGGTGACATTTTGAGCCGATGAGAAGGCTACCCAGATCGTTTATCAAATTTCTGATTTCTGCTGGCGGCCATCTTGAACTGAAATTTGCTACGTGTTTGTTTATAGTTAAAGTGAGCCAAGACGTTCCAGAGTGATGAAAGGGCCACTAAAACCATTTACCAAGATTTTAATTTGGGCTTCTTGTCATCTTCGAATCTTTACCACAGGGGATAACCTACAATCGAAGGAATTATGAGCTATATATGGCTCATACGGTAATTCCCTCGCCCCAAATTCATAAATAGCCATGATCATAAAATTCAGTTTCTCACAGTGATTTATTCGGGACATGTGTCAATCAACAGTTGCAATATTATAAAAAAAAATCATCGCAATTCACTATTGCTTAACTCGTTGTATATTTATCCCATGTTTGTTCTGAGATTTTTGTTTTCTCCAGGTGTACAGAGGCCACGATTAAAAGAGAGTTAAAGAAAAACCATGTACATCTTGTTTATATCATACTATCGACTATTTATAACTTCGTTTTCTTACGAGTGTGCAACCTTGTTCCCAGGGTCCTCTCCTACTCTTCCTCCAGGAGGATGAGTAGGGGAGAAACCTGGGAACGAGGTTGAACGAGTGTAAAGGGATGTGTAAGTGAAATCATCACGCTTGGAGCCTGAATCACGCCCAACACTACTTCATTTCACCTAAGAAAAATTAAAAAGATAATATAAAATTTTAAGTATGTATTGACAAATTAAATAATACACAAGAACAAAGAACTCACCCAGCAAACCCCTTTTGTTCGCGAAGTAAAGAGGTGAAACCCACGATCTGGAGCGTGTGCAAAGTCTGATCAACGTCACGGTAAGAATGGAGTGCCAATTCAGTTTAGATATGAAGTGTACGGTAGCCTTTGAGCAGGCTGTCTTGTGGGGTGTAGCATTAAGGGACAAGGAGAAGAAGGGGCGAAAGGACAGGGGAAGAAGCTCCGGCGTCCTTTAGCACGCTTCCCCTTGCTCACAAACGAAGGGCAAGCCCACCAATATTGCCCTGCTCTTTAACAAGGTAAAGTTGACTATAACTCAACCTCGTCCCCAGGTCTTCTTGGTTAACGGTATATTAACCTGCAAGAAAGCTGTATTTTTGACGTCATCGGTTCATTAAACGCAAAATTCTTCCAAATTTGGTCATCCGTAGCTGGTTATGGTGAATAATGCGTGTGCTTTTAGCCAATCAGAATTGGGGAAATATTTTGAATGAATAATAAGAAAGGTTTTCGCACTTGTGAAAAAAGTGAGTTCTTGGGAGAAAACCAACATTTAGTGTTTCTATAGCTCATGATAAATAGTGCATTTACATTCTAAGTTTATTATATTATTAGAATACTAAAACAAATTTGCAAAAGGTCTCTTGAAATAATGAGTGTTAAAGAACCTCAAAATAACACCTTAGACAATCTTAGACACCTCAGAGCATTTCAAAACATACCAGAACACTAAGGACAACCAATCAATAAGTAAAATGGCCGAGACAAACCAAATCACTAAACAATTTCACTTAAATCACTTAGTTTAGGTGTTATTAAGAGTTAAGGCGAGCTTGCCTTAGTAAATTTCCTCTGATTGTTTTTAGTCTAAATCAGGTCTAAATCGACCAAGAAATGATACTTATAAGTCTTAGGGTGGTGACAGGTCTAAAAAGACCATTCATAAACATTTTTATTTGGGCAATCTTCTTTTTTAAAAGGGGTATGATTTTGGGTCTGTACTATTTTTAAGGTCATATTAAGTAGCCTGCAGGCATGTATGGTAGCATCAATTATGTAACTGTGGAATATTTATTTCTAATGTGATTTTAAGTAATTAATAGTTTTGCAGTTCAATAAAGCTTTTAGTACGATGAGTCTCCAGGCGTTCTGCAACAACTCAAGAATTTGACAAGATCAAATTTCAAATTTCATTTATTTTTGGATATTGTCAAAATGATGCAAGAAAATGGTGTTTGGTGACACTTTGAAACGGTGACAAGACCACCTACATCATTTATCTCATTTCTGATTTCAGCTGGTGGCCATCTTGGATTTTTCCAAAGAGGTTAGCCTATGATACTGGGTCAAAATCTGAAATTTGCCAGTTGTTTGTTCATAGTTAATGTGGACCAAGATGTTTCAGAGTGGCGAGAGAGTCACCAAATCCATTGACCAAGATTTTGATTTGGGCCTTTCTCATCTTCGAATTTTTACCAAAGGGGATAACGTACAATTCAGTAGTCTGAGAAAACAGCCAACATTTCATTACGCCACCAACTGGTTTTCCTACAAAATGATGTCTGAAGAACGACAACTGCATAAATTCCAAACTAATGACGTGCCACTACCTAGATCTGGAAAGCGCTTCTGATTGGTTGTGCCAGGAGGGAAATTTGCCTTAACCAATCAGAAGCACTACCCAGGGTACTGACACGTCATCAGTATGGAATTTATCCAGTTGTTCCTCGGACGTCATTTTGCGGCGAAACCAGTGGTGGCATTGAAAATGGAGGCTGTTTTCTCTGGTTAACAAATCAGTATGTTATAGCTCACGAATTCATGAAGGGCCACAATCATAAAAATTCAGTTTCTCACAGTGGTTTATTCGTGTGTCAATCAACAGATGCAGTAAAAACAATCACCACAATTCAGTACTGTGTAACTCATTACATATTCATCCATATAATTTCTTAAGAGGTTCATGTTTTCTCCAGGTGAAGAGAGGCAACAAGTAAAAGAGCATTAAAGAAAAGCACACACCATTTGTTTATCCTCAAATTACTTGCTCATTCAGGTGGCGGATCCAGGGGAGGGGCTCAGTCCCCCCCCACTTATTTTTAAATCAAACTGAGGCCCGAAGGGTCAAAAGAAAGTTTTTTGGAGACCACCCCCCCACTTCCTCTTATCTAAGGGTCTGGATGACCGGGCCCCCCTTATCTCAAGGTCTGGATCCAGCACTGTCATGGGACCAATATTTTCTGCAAAATAGCCTTAAACATAAGTTAATCTGATAAGCATACCTCACATTAACTGTGCCGGATTTTTCACTACAGGGTTAATACAAAAAATTGCAACCATTTTGGAAGGACTTTACAACGACCACATTAGGTTTTTTAAGGACCACCTACCAGTAATGTTATGTCACAGATTTTACAAAAATGGACATTCCCAGTCCATTCTAAAAGGAGTTTAAGGCTTGAACCATTTGCTCTACCAACTTCTCTAAATTTTTCAGTCACTTGTCTTAAGTAGTTAATTATTACATAAAACAAAAAAAGCATTATGTAAAATTCTCTGAGCTTTGATTTATATTCTGTCTTGGACAACCAAAAAGGATTAAAAAACACTTTCCAGGCCACTGAATTCAAAGTTGAAGAAAATTCAAGGACTTTTCAAGACTGACTAAACTCCTCAGTGACTGTAATGTCTTGCTGATGAAACTTCACGATTTATGTTTGAGATAAACAGTAACTCTTACCTTCCGTCTCGATCCCTGGCGCTGACCGTGAGGATCGCGGCCTCTTGAGACAAGGAGACAAGAACCTAGAGCTTCGATCCTTTTGGTCAGCGTCGCGGATCGAAGCTGACCCCAGTGGACCCCAGTGCTTACGCTTCTCCCTCCCTGGCCGTCATGCGCAGAAGAGATATGGGGTCGAGTTATGTGGGCGCATGCTCAGGAATCAGACCACATAAATATGTTTTTTGACGCAGGAAGTATAATAAAGTACATAGTAAATTTTTGTAATCTCAGATGGCAAGTACCATTTAATTTCTAGATGAAGTTGTTTACAATATTTTGAAATAGAAATGTTGATGCTATAGGCTGTTGAAAAGGAAATTCATGCGGGGACACCCCCTCATTAATAATTTCTGACAAACAGTGAAAGAAAACCTGATAGGCACGGTGGGGAACCCCCCTAATTATAAAGTCGAATTTAAAAATACAACGTTGGGTTAACTCTCGTATTTAAAATAAATAGTATAAATTACTGCTTTTTCAGTGATCTCCAAAACTGACAATTTCTTTTAGGCATATTAAATGTATGTTTTGTAGAAGAAATGAACAATTTAGTGAGGTATATAGATATTTGGTATGGCCCGAATATATGTCGAGGCCACGATATTGCTGCACGTTTTCAACCACACAACTAAGCACAAAACAACTTTTTTCCGCAGAATTTGCATTAAGTAAGACGAATGTGTGGAACTGCAGGCTGTGGAACCGCGGAACTTGCGGAACCTAATGAAATGACTGTTTTCATTACAACTACCTTTGGCTAACGTGATAAAATAATTAGTTACAATTAATAATAACATTGATAAACTGTTTACAGTGCCTTATTTTCCCTTAAGATCGTCGAGATCGAGCACTTACCGTTACTGGCAGCCATTTTGCAATTGATTTCAAATGTACCGAGAGGGCGGGAGTTGGGTTCCCAAACAGTCCCCTACTACCAAGTAAGTAGATAGCCATCCCCCTCACCTTCAAACTAGACTCGATCAAGATGGCCTGTAGCGGTAGTTCCCGACGTTCTTGCGGGAAAATAGGGGGCTGTAAACAGTCTATAACATTAATCGAGAGCTAACGGGAAGTCCACGAATCGCGGAATTCCGGCTTGTTTGTACTTCTGAAGAGAACGAAAGGTACAGATTAGAACACAGTAGCACAACGTTGGAAGGATGATAGAATGTGAATGTGTTTGTGAAAAATAGGTGATATTGAGGGAAGGGCTGAGTTGTATCCGGCAACAAGAAGAATACGTGTGGATAAGTCGGTTATGGCATCGCTGGGTTTGAGTGCGTCAGTGCGTGTGATAGTGTGAACACGTTGTATCTTCTGGTTGAGGAAACCGACGTTGTATCCACGTCTTTAAAGTTGTTACAACGCAGTTTGTGAGTCTTGTTGGAGGAACATATACGTCGTATTCTGAGGGCAAGGCTGAATGGAATAGCTCGTTTAGTGTGTAAAAGGTAGCCTGCATAACTGTCGCTTTAAAAGCCAAGCGAGGCAAACACGTCATTTCGTACAAGACGAGCTTGAATCGCGAGGCGAGGGAAGAAGAAAGATTCGCGCGAATTGCCGTGTTTGCCTTGTTTGGCTCATAAAGCGCCTGTTATGCAGGTTAGTAAGAGGCGACATGATGAGCGTAAAAGATACTGATGTTTGTTTGTAGGGTTAGTATTAAAGAACAGTTTCAATGATACCGTCATTGAGGGACACCTTGACGTCGAGAAAGGAGAAAGATTTGCATGCATAAGTAGTTAGATGTAAATTTAATAGTGGGATGAAGGGTATTTATGTAAGAGATGGAATAAAAATATACGTTTGTAGTGAGAATGAATTTGATGAGGTTACAAAGAGTTTCTGTGTGTATTGTGGATATTGAGCGGTAAAGTAATACCCTGGTCCTTCTCTCATCCTACTGTGTTTACATCCATACCTCTCGTTGCATCCCGACCTACTAACAAGCCGGACCCAGAATTCTAGATCAGTGTTCCTTGACACATCGACAACAATTTTCCATGGTCTGTTCTCTTATCGACCATAGAAATGACCTCAAAATGTTCAAAACTCAAGTGGAACCACGAGTCGCTGGACAGTGATTTCATTATAAACTTTTGAATATTTTGACGTCATTTCTATGGTCGATAAGAGAACAGACCATGGAAAATTGTTGTCGATTTGTTTTTTACAATAACATTGACAGTTTTTGTCGTCCATTTCCGTTGACTTTCCGCGGAAAATTGCTTGCGGGAAAGAAAAAAACAAACTGCGCTACCATCACTTCATTTCCATGGTCTGTACTGTTATCGACAATAGCTCTCCTGCTCTCGAACCAATCAGCGGGCGCGAAACCGCTTAGTTTTTGTAAAAACATTATTGTAACTAATTATTATATCACATTAGCGAAAGGTAGTTGTAATAAAAACAGCCATTTCCTTAGGTTCCGTAGGTTCCACCGATTCCGCACATTCCGCGGTTCCACGGTCTTTACTTTCGCGGTTTGCAATTCCACAGATTAGTCTTACGCTGCTTTATGAGAGTGTTTCGTTCGCAACAGAAGAGAACACTTTTGTTCTTGGCCAACAGTGGGTTATTTCAAGTATTTAGTACTTTTTAGTGCAAATTATTACCCTCTCTTAGTACTCGCCAAAAACTGCCATTTTTTTCAACCATATATTTTGTTTAATTTTCTGAGTTTTATTCGGTATGGCATTGTATGACGTGGCTGACGAAGTCGGGGATTTCCCTCTCTCCGGCGCATGGACGCGTGGAATAAAAATAAAACCAACCAGGAAAGTTAAGTTTCGCTTTTACTTGAGAAGCTTCGTTCGCAGGTAGTAAGCTACTTATGGTTTCGGCTATGAAACCTTTTAAGTGCACAGATTGCTTGAGGAGGTTTAGAACAGAGAACGGCCTTGCTGATCATCAAAGAGCCGTACATCCTGACCCAGTTAGGGATTCGCTATTGAAACCTTATCCGTGTATGGTTTGTCCGAAGCGGTTTATCACAGAAAATGACCTAAACAATCATATGGAAAAGGCAAACAAGAAGCATAAGCTGAAGCATAAGAAAATGACAGGTAATATCAATCAATTGTACTAGAACAAGATCTCCATACAGTTGGGGTTCATTGGGCTGCCGACTACGAGATGCAGTGGTTTATTATTTTGGGAAGTATAGATTTTAAGTAGTACGATATAAAGGGAAACTTCAGTAACTTTAATACATAAACACTGACGGGCTTAAGTAAAAGCGTTTGAGCGACAGAAGGGAAGGGAGCATAATTTTCTAGATTTATTGCATTTGGCGCTGAAGTTGTAATTTAATTTAGGCTTCCAATCCTGTCATGGTCTGTTTGCTAGCTATGGTCTATGGTATGTTTATTCAAATGATCTATAAAATTCATAACGAATTTAAGTAACTTAATTTTTTTTTGGGTTTCAGGTGATAAATCTTGTCCGGCAGATATATTCTGTAAACGTAAATTTCAATCTCAGTACAAGTTTACCCCCCTTGCCCTAAAGCAACATACGAACAACCCAGGCAATTGGCATGAAAAAGGTAATATTAGCGTAATAAAACTTTTACATAAACGTTTATTTATACTCGAGTCCTAATGGTACTGTGAGTCAGACAATGAGTCATTTAAACAAAAAAAGAATCCCTGAATGCTAACTGTTATCGAGTCAGTGTTTAACCCTGCCTTTATAGACACTCTGTATGGATATTTATGACGAAAGCGTGTTACGAAAACGACGTCCGCAGGTAGCCAAAGAGAGGCTCACAATGGTTAGTGCTTACCCAGTCACTGAAGTCAGTGCTTAAACCTAATCACTACGTATTTTCAGTACTGACTCATAACTTGACTCGTAACTTATAGACTCATTTGACTCATAAAACAAGCTTTCTCAGGTCGCTTTCTCACGACATGAAGGGAAAACCGAAAACTACTTTTTGAGCGAAGGACGCCAACCGGAAGTGGACCTTTTTTGTCAAGTTTTTGTGGACCTTACGGTGCACAACGTTCAATAGCATCATCATTTTGATCTTATTGACCAATAAAAACGTCGCATTCATTCATTCCGTCACGGTAAACAAAGGATTGTGCACCAGGAACTTCCAACATAAACTGCAGCACCGCTCTCCTCTTATTTTTGAAGCTTGCCGGCTTTGATAACCAGTCTCCCATCATATGAGCACATGACTAGATTTAGATCGTGAGATGTTGTGCCAACGAACCACAAAATTCACGATTAATTAGGCAGTCCAGTTGCCTCCTAAAAACTACACTTTGTAATAGTGACTTAATTTGCTTTTTTAGGACTCTTGGATCAAGCTTGGACCAGCGCCAAAGTGAATACATTCATAAGTGACGAGCTGCAGCCAGATAAAGAATTTCATAATGTGTATAATGATGCTATTGATTCCTTGTACAAAGAATTACAAAGAGTCTTGCGGAATACATTCTATGGAATTCATAACTTGATCGAGGTTAGTGGCGCATAAGCCTCCCCCCAGCCCACCCAAACGAAAGACGCCGAGGTAATAGAATCATTATAGATGTCGTTAACTTCCAACAAATCTGTAGAAGATACAGAATGTCTTTAAAAAGGGTGTGACAGTTGAAATGTTTGCTTCAGTATTATTCTTAATATACGCAATGCGTAGTTGAAAAATAATACCGTGAAAGATACTGGGAGATGGTAAAACTGGAAATACAAGCATGGAGGTAAAGAAATGCATACCAAATCGCTTATTTTTACCCTTAAGTTTTACGATTAACGTATCCGATGGACTGATACTTTTGCCCAGGAGGTCCTTCAGTGCCGATCCAGAAAGGTTTCAGGAGTAGGACTAACTAGGGTCGAGATGTTGCGAAACTATATAGCACGAAAGTGACTGAAAAAATTCCGGCTATGAATAGATTCTGCATACCCACCTTGTCTTTGTAGGGCGGATCCATTGCAAAAGGCACTGCATTAAAAAAGCACTCCGACTTGGATTGCGTGATGGTCACGAAGAGTATTAAAGACGCTAACCAGTTAAGCGGGAAACTACCCGTCATCTTGACTGAACTAGAGTCACGCCTGCAGCGGAGCTGGAAAGGGAACCCATGGCAATTGGATTCCATAGAGACCACTAACTTCTCCGTGCAGTTTAATATGTCCCGTTCTTCTGAAGAGCTAGTTAAGGTCGATCTCTTGCCAACATTTGAAGCAAACGTAGGCACCGATGCTGGTACGTACCTAATCACAAGCAGGCTAGTTCAGGGGCACCCAACGAGAATATAGTTCAAAACCACTTAACATACCATTGTTGAACGTATTTTAGTATTCAAACGGTAGATATAGGCATATTTTTATCCCCTAAAATCTTTTCATCTGTTCGGATTTCCTAGCTGAAAGTCTAGTGATCCGAAAATTATAGGGATAAAAACTTACCTTCTCGAAAATTTCAGCCAGGAAAAGGATCCCGAAAATTCTAGGTGGCCTTTTTTAGGGTCAAAATCCGTTAAAAATGGGTAATTACACCATTTTGTAGATGTTCGAAAATCCTAGGAGAGGCAGGCAAGCAAGAAATTTTACAACAAATGCTCCGAAAATTCTAGATCTCAAATCGTCTTCCGAACAGATATTCTCCCGAAAATTGCCGTTGGGTGCCCCTGCTAGTTTGCGTTTCTCGTAGATTAAGTTTGTCAGTACGTGGCTTTCTTCCCAAGCCATTGATAATTCAACAAAACTTTATTCTCAGGGCTTCTCCCATTTTTAATAAAAAATTCCTCACTCCAAAAACTTTAAGAGGAATGGGGTTAAGTTTTCGGCGCAATGATTTCTAGGAACGTTTGGGTGGACAGCGTTAGTTATTGCGTTAGTTGTGACTGGTCGATGGTACTCAAGGGTTGTTTACCATTTGCAAAATGTGTCCGGAAAATCCGTTTGGAACTTAAATGGAACAAGACTCTTTGGGTCGTTATAGCGGAAAATTTCCGGAAGCAACCAAACATCTGGAAAGGTAGTTCTGTTTTTCCGGACGGAGTGTCTTATAAACGGAAATTCGAGTTCCATTTATTCAAAGACATCTTTGATACCAGTTTCAGGCCTTCGTGGTCGTTTATGGGTAAATAGAACTGATTTGCACAAATGTTAAACGCAGTTTTGGGACAAAATTTACTAGCAATGAAGTTTGCTTACCATTTGCTCAAACAGGGAACAGACTGGTTTGCTCACGTAAATGGTAAACGAGCAAAGGCTGTTCACAGACCATCTTTTTGAAAAGGCCGCCGAGCGCGCGTGAGAAAAATCAGGGGCACCCAACGAGGATATAGTTCAAAACCACTTGACATAGCATTGTTGAACGTATTTTAGTATTTAAACGGTAGATATAGGCATATTTTTATCCCCTAAAATCTTTTCATCTGTTCGGATTTCCTAGCTGAAAGTCTAGTGATCCGAAAATTATAGGGATAAAAACTTACCTTCTCGAAAATTTCAGCCAGGAAAAGGATCCCGAAAATTCTAGGTGGCCTTTTTTAGGGTCAAAATCCGTTAAAAATGGGTAATTACACCATTTTGTAGATGTTCGAAAATCCTAGGAGAGGCAGGCAAGCAAGAAATTTTACAACAAATGCTCCGAAAATTCTAGATCTCAAATCGTCTTCCGAACAGATATTCTCCCGAAAATTGCCGTTGGGTGCCCCTGCTAGTTTGCGTTTCTCGTAGATTAAGTTTGTCAGTACGTGGCTTTCTTCCCAAGCCATTGATAATTCAACAAAACTTTATTCTCAGGGCTTCTCCCATTTTTAATAAAAAATTCCTCACTCCAAAAACTTTAAGAGGAATGGGGTTAAGTTTTCGGCGCAATGATTTCTAGGAACGTTTGGGTGGACAGCGTTAGTTATTGCGTTAGTTGTGACTGGTCGATGGTACTCAAGGGTTGTTTACCATTTGCAAAATGTGTCCGGAAAATCCGTTTGGAACTTAAATGGAACAAGACTCTTTGGGTCGTTATAGCGGAAAATTTCCGGAAGCAACCAAACATCTGGAAAGGTAGTTCTGTTTTTCCGGACGGAGTGTCTTATAAACGGAAATTCGAGTTCCATTTATTCAAAGACATCTTTGATACCAGTTTCAGGCCTTCGTGGTCGTTTATGGGTAAATAGAACTGATTTGCACAAATGTTAAACGCAGTTTTGGGACAAAATTTACTAGCAATGAAGTTTGCTTACCATTTGCTCAAACAGGGAACAGACTGGTTTGCTCACGTAAATGGTAAACGAGCAAAGGCTGTTCACAGACCATCTTTTTGAAAAGGCCGCCGAGCGCGCGTGAGAAAAATCAGGGGCACCCAACGAGGATATAGTTCAAAACCACTTGACATAGCATTGTTGAACGTATTTTAGTATTTAAACGGTAGATATAGGCATATTTTTATCCCCTAAAAACTTTTCATCTGTTCGGATTTCCTAGCTGAAAGTCTAGTGATCCGAAAATTATAGGGATCAAAACTTACCTTTTCGAAAATTTCAGCCAGGAAAAGGCTCCCGAAAATTCTAGGTGGTCTTTTTTAGGGTAAATATTCGTGTAAAATGAGTAATTATACCATTTTGTAGATGTTCGAAAATCCTAGGAGAGGCAGGCAAGCAAGAAATTTTACAACAAATGCTCCGAAAATTCTAGATCTCAAATCGTCTTCCGAACAGATATTTTCCCGAAAATTGTCGTTGGGTGCCCCTGAAAAATAAAAACAGCACCTCGCGCTCGCCGATTATCGAAAAGAAAAATAAAGCAACGTCTGTGTATAGGCGAAAGACGACCAACCAATCATAGGTAACGTCTGCCCACCCAAGCAATCCCAGAAATCGTCGCTCCCAAAGTTTGAACTCATTCTTCTTATAGTTGCTGGAGTGGGGGAATTCCTAGTCATAATATATAACAATTATTCACCGAAGTGGAGGTGGCTAGTATTGGATATTTACCGAGGTTGCGAAGCGGCTAGGTAAATATTCACTACTAGCCACCGACACTGAGGTGAATAATTGTTTTAGTATATACTAAAACAACGAGATAATTGAGCACAAAATGATGATTTTTAACTCATATTTACTGTTGCCAACGATTACAATTTTGGCGCGCGATGACCGAACGGCCGCGAGCGAGCGCCCGAAAAACACTATCCACTGTTTTAGTATATACTAAATAGATTTAGCCAGGGCGAAAAGCGAAGCTCTCGATGATATTTATAGTTTGCTCAAACAAAAACATGGATTGGTTTGTTAGCTAGGACCCGCACTATTTTTCTTTAGATTTTGATTTGAATATTTGGTTTTGGTCCAGTAAAGTTACCGGCACTTTTGAGAAGCGGGCACTAAGGCTTTCCCAATTTTTAGCCCTCTGGAAAAGTGGTGGGGAAAAGGTTGAACTCAACACTCTTAACCCAATGTATCTTAACAGATCTAATGTTACTGAAAATTGCTTCGTTATTTTAACCAGCTAGAGCTTTTTTGGTTTGTTTCTATTTTTTGATTCATTTTGTTTGTTTCCAGCTACACCCGGTCTATAATAGGCAATCTCAATTAAAGTTATGGGCGTAGCTTGAATGACTTGAAAAGTGTTTTTTAGATGGTTGGTTAACTGCTCATTAGTGAAGCTACACACGTGTGCCATCTTGAGAAACGATTTATGATTTCTTAGTAAATCTTTTATTATGTTGAGTCTGCTGAGGAACGATTTATACTTTCTCAGAACGAGCAGAGTTTTACATGCAAATGGTGCGCGATGAAGAAAACTGGAAATACTATTCGGCTGCTATTGTGAAGTTACAAGTAGAGTTCGTCAAGAAACTGCCTGCAAACGTAAAAGACCTGATTCGCTTGGTAAAGTATTGGCGCAAGAAGTACATTCCACAGAGTGGTAGTAAGCACCTCCCCCCCTCCTATCTGTTGGAACTTCTCACCATACACGCCTGGGAAAATGCAAATCGTCCAGAGAGATTTGACGTGAAGATTGGTTTTAAAGCTGTTATGGAGGCTCTAAAGAATCCCCACAATCTTCGTGTTTTGTGGGAGCGTTACTACAGAAGGGAGTTAATTCCAAGCAGGTACATTCGTAAGGTGTTTAAAAATAGCTTTCCTCAACGTTTAAAAGAGCTGCTTTTTACATTCTCAAGGAGTCAGGCCGTCTCGGTTGTTAATAAAACAGTGGAAATTTGAGATACGTCCCTCACCAATACCCCTCCCCATGACGCCTTAGGTGCTTTTTGCATGCTTGTTTTACTTTATTTTAATCAGTTGTAAAACCTGCTAGGAATGACTATCGAGGCAAGAAATTCGTAAAACGCTCTGGTACTTGAAAGATACAGTAATTGCAGAAATGTTCTTTCATTGTAAAGTTTTATTTATTACATATCGTATTTATTCGAAATAAGCGCCCAACTCCGAATTAGCGCCCATGCACCTCGAATAAGCGCCCATCCTAATGGCAGAAAAAGTTAATAAGTGCGTGATTTCC